ATCTATACAAACACACACAAGCGCACATTCACACACACACACACGTTTGTTTCATAAAAATAAATATTTTTGCATTTTATATTAACCTTTTCAACACAGACCTATTATCCTAATGTCTCATTCATGGCAAACCAGCTGTGTTCTCAAATAATGAAAAGCAAAAGATGTTAGTATTTTTTCTTTTTTTATTAAATGGTCATATTTCCTCCCTTTCTGGCACTGTATATATATTGTTTTTAATATCCCTCCCCCCCTGCACACCCAGGACCATTGTGGATCCATACATACGCCTGTGGCCTCCCCCGCCCTTACAGCGCACACCTCTGACGCTCTTGGTATAGTGAACAGATGGCTAGCGACAGACGCTGCTGAGGTGTAATGCGATTACAAAGAGCTCATTTCAATCGCTCCCTTCCTCCTGCGCCTGCCACCCCTCCCCTCCTGAGATTCACTCTGCCACCAAACCACCCCACACCTGCCAGGGGTCTTTCGACTTTTGCCCCCTGCCAGGGAAGATTTTCATGGTAAACACAGAAAAACGCAACTTTGCTTTCTCTTAATGCGTCCAACACAACTGCATCTTCCCTGTGTAGTAAGGAACAGAATGTATCAGCGATGCTTATTGTCATGGTCATAGGAACACCGGTTTAAGGGACAGTGTCAGTTTACTGGTTTTGTGTCACCATATGTCACCAAGAGCAGGCTCTGTAAACCTTTGGTCCCTTCTGTCACCCTTCGGATAGAGAACACAGTGCATTAGCCAAAGTCCCTTCTGTCTTTAGGCAGACCAAGCAGCATTTACCATTGGTCCCTTCTGCTTGACTGTATAGTGTCTCATATGTGTCATTGTCACTATGCAATCCAAAAGGACCCCCTGTCTGGTCTTGTTTCATTATACAAAGTGACCTTAATTGTGCTATAAGCTTGGCAGAATCCCAGCGTACGGGAAATGCAAGTTTTTGACCTTCTTTCTCAAGAACACTATATATTTTTTTAAAAGAGGGTTCTGAATCTTAAAAAAGTAATCTTATGAAAATCTCCCTCATCCCCGAGGCAGGTCAGGTAGGCTTAGGACGTTTACAGGAGGGGGCTTGCGGGGGTGTGGGGTCATCAATAGCAAAGCCTTGATGAAAATAAAATATGCTCCAAAAGACATTACAGAGAAGTAAATAAAAGAGATAAAAATGGAAATTTCAAGCTCGCTGCGTCTCTTCTGATAAAGGGAGTAAAACGGAGTGAGAGGAATAATACATGGTGAGAAGGTTACCGTCACTTTAAGAGGCAGCCAGGGCTGCACAACGCTGATAACACAGAGGATGAAGGCTGTTCTAGCGAGATAACACCAAATCCTAGTATATGCCAGCCCCAATCCTGCTATGCTGAGCCCGGCCCCGCAGTCTGACAAAGTGCCATTTAACATAGAATAAATACAGGCGGCAGAGCCTGTTACCCGCACTATTAATCAGCTGCTCTCCATTTAAAATGTTGTTAAAATATAGAGTTTAGCAGACAGAGGCTGAATGGTTTCGGGATTCATCATAAGCTTTCTGTGTTCCTCTATTGTCTACTGCAATTTCCTTCTGTTAACCCCTTTAGGCTAAGGCGCTGTGATGTATAGCTAAGCAGTATTCAATAGACAGACTTTTCTCGCAGCCGCAATTCACTATGTCTATGGGATTTGCTGGCCGTGGTGCTATAAGGTGAGGGATGCCTTACCTGTCCACATTGAAAATCTGGGGTCCTGCAGTGTGTGGGCGTGGCTTAAAAGAGAATATAGTGCCCACCATGCATTTGCAGTTTTACCTACCAGGCAGCCAGTGCTTGTAAATACACATAATAAATTAGTTCTTTAAAAATGTCAAATGAAGGGGGCAGAGCCAACTACTGACCTGAGCAGACGCACGCTGCAAGAGCTCTGCACTAACGTAGCTGATAATGGCAAAAATCTCAGCCAAAACCTTCTGATTTTACAGTGACTGTACCCGCAAGCCAAGGGAGCACATCATTTGCCAAAAAACAAACAAAAAACAGGTGGATAAGACACCAAACAGCCACGATATCGGTGACTTTCTCCGCTGCTCGCAACAGGCCGCATGGGCCAATGTGGCGCAGCATGGGGAAGAATCCTCCTGCTCTTCAGAGGACTTTTATGCAGACAGAGGCCTCTATCCCTACAGCACTACAGGGGAGATCTGCCTCTTCTGTGGACCGTGAGCCGATAACAGCTCCATGCTTAAAGCAATGCTGGGAGAATTACGCTCCAATATTGCAGTTGATATCTCCTAATTTAAAGTGGCAATTGAAGGAGCTACCACTCGCATCACATTACTCAAGGCCACAAATAGTGTCCAAGACACAAGACTAGCTGCAGTGGAGAAAAAAACTGGATGACATGCAGCACGCACAGCAGGACACGGAGGCCCGGGTGGAAACACTAGAGGAACGAAGGAGACGCAACAACTTGAAACTCCAAAGAGCTAGTATAGGCACGGAAGAATTGCCTCACTATCTCTGGCGACTCCTGGCAGTACTAATGCTACCTAAACAAGCAAAGACGGTCAAATTGGATGGCATGTTCTGTCTGCTAAGGTTGACCAACATGCCAACTTCTGCACCGGTGGATCTTATAGTATGCTTTCAGACCATGCAGGATAAAGCCCTGTTCCTTACAGCAGTGTGAGAGAAGTCACTGGTTCAGTTAGAGGGCTCCTCACAACTAATTTTTCCGGACATTACAAGAAAAGTGTTGGCCTGGAGGAGGTTGCTGAAACCTCTGCTGCAAATTCTAAGTTTGGGGGCAGTGGCTTACTGGTGGGGTGCTCCCATGACACTCATCTTTACCTAGCAAGGCAAAAATCATAGTTTGTGGGACTTTTCCAAGTTGGAAACCTGCATGAACCATCTGAGCCTGATACCATCTACAGGAACCACGGATAAGAGGCTGACTTATTTAGACCTCTCCACGATACCTGAATTTACACCACGGGGACACTCAGCCACAATGGCGATCACCTGACTGGTACACAACATGCTGTCAGATGGCAGCAATGTTGTCCTCTACGAAGTTTGAAAGGCTGTGCAAAGCCTCCACTGCCGTTATCTTGTCTCTAACTGTGTTATCACCTGTATATGCATTTTGAAATTTTGCCAGTGTTATGTTTTCTTTTCCTTACTTTAATTGAAGTTAATTAACTTGACAACATTTTAGTCTTAGTAGACCACACCTGTATGTCTTTCCCAACAAAAGACTGCATAGATTGACATGCTATCCCTCCCCAAGGAACACGCCCAAAAGTTGACAACTAAGCAAACAGGCACTATCCTAAACGTCATATCTACCCCCCGCCCCATCCCTTCCCACGTTCTGCGGTTGCAACTTTAACTGACATTATCGTAAAGACGGGTTTCACTCATTCCAGGGGTAGGACTGATGTCCCAACGGAACTTTTAGCAGACCTCTGTTTACGTTCAACTTCTCTCTTACCACCTCTCTAAAAACAAAACCTCTTTCCGCATGTATTACCCATGTCTACTGCATACGGGATCTAATTGTACAGTTTTCTCTCTGATGGCTTACGAACATGTGGAATGAGATATAAATAAAGAATTTTTTTTTTTTAAATGTCATATGAAAACTTTTCAGAATTAATTTTTTTCTGCTCCATTTTTCTGCAAAATTCAAAGGGAAAGGTAAAATACTGGAATACTGCTGACTTGGAGATATTGTAGCCTAAAATTAAAAATTAGATTTCCCAACACTTCACATTTTAGTGAATAACCTTCTTAGACAGATAAAAAAAAAAAAAAAAATCGGATTGTTGGAGTTTTGAATCCGTGACATTCGGGTAGGCTATGCAATAGGAGTAGTTCAGCGTACTTATAGGAAGCAGGGGAAGGAATTATTTAGGGCAGGACTCTTTCCACTGAAAATGTAGTCCTGGCATTTACAAATGTACCTCTGCTGAATGCTATGAACCCTCCAGACTTGCAGTGATGAGTAACTTCAAAGTCCTGGCTCATATCTTAAAACTTAAAATCGTAAGCCCTTGTCACGGTTCGCTAGTCTATTGCTGTTATTCCTTCAATCCTCCACTAGTCCTAGTTCCAGATGTGCTGAATATGGTGATAGTGCTATCGCTGTGTAGAGTTTTCCCAATATAATGGTCGCAACCAGTCGTATTGGGTAGAAGAAGCAACATCAGCTTTATTAGGCCACACTCGGCTTTTTATACATTGCCCCTAGCATGGGGTTTTTAAGACAAAATCACAGGGGTTTCCTTCCCACAAGCCATTGTGTTTGAGAGATAATTGAGCTCCAATTAAGATAACTCAATTATCTCTCACATGAGAAAACTTACATACCATTTTAACATATCACAAAAATACCTAAAAACAGTACAGGAATCCCACTAAAATTATATTTCCGAATAGCCCTGAGCTGAGCGTACAACATATCCAAAAAGTGCTCAGATCGGTTTGGTAAAAAGAGAGTCATTTTTGAACAAAGTTTTGACCGGCAGGCCATGAGGTGGTAGCCCAAAACAGTTCCAGAGAATTGGTCAGGCTGGCCGGTTGATTTTCGGGGGTTCCTGTGTGTACACTGACGAGCCCATCCCCTGGCTTTTTTTTTTTTTTTTTTATTCCTGATTTTATTGCACAAATGAATACATACACACTTGTAGTGCCCCAACATCAGGACAAGCAGAAGAAAAGAAAACATACACTGCAAGAGTAAAACATGGCATTCTGAGCAATTGCACAAATTTGTATATTTATGATATACTAGTAAAGAAGCCTAGGTGCATATGTCTAAACAAAGCATCCTATTTAGGTAGATGATTAGTATTGTAACATGGACACCGTGAATGAGAGGGTTAGAACACCCAAAAGGTTACCTGGTGGACACTAAGCTGCGGAGTGTTTCAAGCATAATAAGCCCAATTAATTAACGTTGGTTGTAAGGGGAAAACAAAAGTGGGTGAAAGCTAGAGCAATCAGAATCAGGCTGTGGGGAAGCCGTTTGGAGGGATAAGCACCAGCCAGTGAGAGTCCAATTCATAAGTCAACCAATTCCACTTAGAGGCGAAACAAAGTGTTGGTTCTGCCAAACCAGGCTCGGCCGCAGGAGTCCAGACTTGTAGCCCATCTGTGTGGAGAAACACTTCAGGCCCCACCGTGCAGACAGGTGCTGTAGATGTAGTAGCCAAGTCACCACTGATTTTGCTGCGGGTGTCACAGCCCTCCACAGGGACCTCGATGTCGGCCAGAGCGGATAGCATGAAACTGGACGTGTAATCTGGCATTTGTGGAGAAGTCCAGCAGCTGTGCCCTGATTTGGTAATGTAGGTTTGGATGCACTCGGAAGGTGGCGCCTGCTCCGCCGCCATTTTTGTTGCCTTCTCGCTATATGGACCATATGCTTGCAGTGGTGGCGTGGATGTGCCATCAAAGGTGAGGGGTCACATGCTTCTGGCACATTAGCCTGTCGCATTCCGAGCTTTCATTTTTTTCCATAAGTCGGCAAATATGCGGTCCAGCTTGGACATGATATCCGGCTGCCGATCTGGGGAGCATGTGGCGCCCACCATGATGTGCGTCTCCATGCTAGTCATCTGTTCACTCAGCGGCACCTCTTGGGCCAGTTAGCCTCCCAGGTGTGGACCAGGATCACCCCAGCCAGTCCAAAGAGGGGCTGGGGGGGGCACGGGGTGCAGAGTGGAGTTTCTGGGGCCCAGGAGGCACCAGGTTGGGTGATCGGCCGCCTCTCCTGTCCGGTTTGTCTCCAAGGCCACACTGCAGAAGTCGTTGAGGCAAAATGTAGCTAGCAGCCCCTCCGCGGTGGATCAGCTTGGTCACAGAAAGAGGGATCTCAGAAAAACTCTCTTAGAGAGGGATTAGCAGTAATTAATCCCACTTTAATTGAGATCCTACGATGAGCTCTCTTAAAACATGACCAGCTCGCATGGTGGTCAAGCCCCGCTCTTATCCTCTGGCTTTTAAGAAGTTAATGCTTCCCTTGTTCGGTAGTTCCTTACTCCCAAACGCTGTTCTCCTAGCAGGTTGGGAAGTCGAACGGGCAGGGGCACAAGTTTCTGCGGGGTTCACGTAGCCAACTCAGAGATCCATGCAGTCGACAACCATGTACCGCTGCCTGCGTTCAGGAGACAAGATGGCTGCCAGTCCTAATAGCACGTGTGTTCGTATATATGCGAATGGTGGCTACCCAGTGAAGCACTTGATGTGATTGCTCGTTTGTGGTTAACAGCCAGGGGTGGTCGGTGATTACGAGGTGTTAACAAGGGGGACCACACATAGTCTGTTCGGTAACGGAACAGAAGGGAATGGATTTCTGAACACAAGGGGACAATTATCTGGTAGTGATTCCATTAGAATGCAGGGGGATATCAGATGAAACAAAGTACAAATAAGGGAACACGTACGAGGAGTCCTATCTCCCATGACAGCCCTGAACAGAGGACTCATGAGGATGGGTGAGAAAAGTGGAAAACATAGTTTAGTCAATGTTAGTCATCACTGGCTTATACAGAACAAGAGAAGTGTAAAGCACATGTAAGGCGCAAGACTAGGCATTGGAGGGAAAAAAGACCAGTTTATAGCTACAGCAATTTTTTATTTTCATTTTTTGAAATCCCTGCAGTTTTTTACACAGCTGTGTGTAGGGAGTTGGGGACAGGGGACCTCCTTGCACTGTAATCTAGACACTGATTACAGGATTGTCCCTTTATCAGGATGGGAAAGGAAATGTCTTTAAATGAGCAGAAATAACAGGGTGCAAAAGTCAAGGTTGCGTATTGCATTCCACCCAAACTCTGCGTATGAGGGTCCTGTCTGGGTGTCCCAGCAAACTCTAGGGGCAAAATGAGCTCTAGCGGCAAAATTATTGAGATCCCAGCCGGGTCAACGTATAAAGTTTGTTTTTGGAATGTGATATTTAAAAGCAGTATATAAAGCTGAAAGATTGGTTCTGTTGAGCAACAAGAAGAAAATATACGGCTACAATTTAGAATGTTTCCATCCTTTTGTATCAAAGTTTGTATGAAATGCCAAAGGTTAATAAAAACGGACAAGCACAAGTAAACTGTCGATAGGTTCTTTTAAGTAAATTAACCCCTACGTATAGCCAATTCCGTCTTGGAGTACCGGCTGTCTCTTGCATATATATTATCGTATGGTGCTCTGGCCAGCCAGACAGCCAACCTCACCTGGTCCTATTCTCTCCAACTCACCTGATCCCCCGTCCAACTGGCAGGCAACAGCTCTAACCCCCCCACCCACCCTACTCGGACTCCTTCACTCGTTGCTTTTCCCTTTGATATTTGGATCAGCTTCAACCATTGGAAATCTGCCAAGAGAAATCCCTGACCCCCTTAGCACAGCTGGAGCCGTGTCTGTGTGCATACAGATAGGGAACCTCAGCGCTGCGGCTGCCCCCTGCCTTACAAGATGCTGCTCTCGGAGTGCTGCAGTTACAGATATTATCTGACAGTGAAGGCTACCCTTAAAATATCAGGTGTAGGGAACTACAGTACCCATGGGGCATAACAGGGCAAATGCCTGTCCGTGTCCGGGCTGTAGGGTACCCATTACTGAAATGGGAAATCATGTTGCTCTGCTTCCTGTGCCACTAGAACACCTAAAAACAAACTCCTACTGCCATGAGGCCTTCTAAAAAAACATGGCTTGACTCATTAGGCACTTAAAGGGTGACTTACCAGTAAGATCCAGGCTTCATCCTCCCCCACCCCTTTTTCTTTAGAATTCTTTATTGTGGGACAAACAGCATAAAACAAAACTGTGACATAAAATGTATTTAAATTACACAGTTTCACTCCTTTATTTTTGGAGAGATACCTATAGGCTAATGGTTTTATTAGCTCTTTCATAAATAGGTGAAGGACTATCACAGAGATGGTGTCTTTTTTGGGTGCGGGGGCAACAAGTTGTGGGAGAAGCACAAACATTGCCAATGTACCAAATGGGTTTGTATCTAAAAAAACAGGCACAATTTAATTACAAGGACAGTCAGGCAGAGTAAGGTGCACACAGAAATTGATTCCTGGATGGCACACGGTGCCAATTCCTAGGTAATTGAAAAGTGAGATTGAACTAACATGTCCACCTTCTGTTAGAAGTTACATAAATTGTGTTGCCCTGCTGTATGTAGAATTCACATGCTGCCCTAGGGAAATCAATTAATCAGTCATGTCCAAGATCCCATAGGAGCCACTGTGATGAGTAATTGCCGATTTCCATTTGCAACTAAGCTTGCACAACCATTCCATTGTAAGATAGCTGCTGCACAGTGTGAAGTAGACAAGATCATTGATTGAAGTCGCTCGTCCAGATCCCTTTTCAGGTATCTGTGCTGATGCAGCTCTGAAACTGGCAAAATATAATTCACTATTTTAACACACTTACAGAAACTGTGTCAGTGCTGGCTACTTAGACTTCCATGCAATTGCAAAAACTCTGTTGACTAAACTATTGCACCTATAGAAAACTATGTGTTTTTGCAGTTTTTGTTGTGATTTATCCAGTTTATTTCATGGTTAATTATCTAACTCCAGCACATACGCCTATTAACCTATTAAGTTAGGTATGGGCTTAGAATGAGTGTTCGGAAATAACCAATTTCCCATCATTGTCCCATGTGAAATTCTCCAACTTCACTCTTTTTAACCCCTTAAGGACCGGACTGTTTTTGCGATGTTGTACATTTGCGACCAGGCATCTTTTTACACTTTTGTGGTGTTTGTGTTTAGCTGTAATTTTCCGCTCTCTCATTTACTGTTCCCATACAAATTATATATGTTTTTTTTCAGGACAAAGGGGGCTTTCTTTACATACCATTATTTATATAATCGTATGTAATTTAATTTAAAAAAAAAGGAAAAAATATGATGAAAAATTGAAAAAAATACATGTTTTTTGACTTTTACGTGAAAAATCTTTTACTCGTCTACAAAAGCTAATGAAAAAAACTGCTAAATAGATTCAACATTTTGTCCTGAGTTTAAAAATACCCAGTGATTACATGCTTTTTTGCTATTATTTTGCATGTTATAGGGCTATAAATACAAGTAGGATATTTCGGTTTCAAAACATACATTTTTAAAATTTATCAATAGTGACATTGTAACACTATTATCTGTCATAAATCTCTGAATAACACCCCACATGTACATATTTTTTTAAAAGTAGACAACCCAGGGTATTCAATATGGGGTATGTCCAGACTTTTTTAGTAGCCACTTAGTCGCAAACACTGGCCAAAGTTAGCATTCATATTTGTTTGTGTGTGAAAAAAGTAAAAAACTAAATTGAATGCTAATTTTGGCCAGTGTTTGTGACTAAGTGGTTACTAAAAAAGACTGGACATACCCCATTTGCAATACCTTGGGTTGTCTTCTTTTGCAAATGTTATGCCATCATGGGGGTAATTCTCATTCCTGGGCTACCATACGCTCTCAAAGGCAATGTAACCAACCTGGCCATTTTCAATGTAAAAATATTTGACCCATATATTTGACCCGGTAACTTTTAAAAACGCTATAAAACCTGCACATGGGGGGATTGTTATACTCAGGAGACTTTGCTGAACACAAATATTAGTGTTTCAAAACTGGAAAACGTATCACAACATTTATATCATCAGTAGAAGTGCTGTTTGTGTGTGAAAAATGCAAAAAAAAGTCACTTTCACTGACAATATCATCGCTGTGATATGTTTTACTGTTTTGACTCACTAATATTTGTGTTCAGCGAAGTCTCCCGAATAAAACAGTACCCCCCCATGAACATGTTTTAGGGTGTCGTAGAACGTTACAAGGTAAAATAAAGTGCTAGCAAATTAAATTCTCTGGACTTTTGGCCTGGGTTGGCAGGCAGGTCTCTCAAATTGCAATCAATAAAATTACTTAATTATGTAAAAATATTACATAAATACGCATGTAGAATTTAAATATATAAGCATATTTATATATTTGAAGTCCACGTGTATATTTATATAATTATTTATGTAATTTTGTATATGGACATATGTATATATCATATTATTTTTATTTATTTATATATACATAGATATATATACAATTTCATTCCAAGTGTATTTTGATATAAATATATATATATATATATATATATTAATATCAAAATACAGTTAGAATAAAATTTCATAGATATATAATGTTTCTTAAATTTTTATTATTATTTTTACATTTTTTTATTTAATTTAAATTACTTATTTGTATTTTATAATAATATATATATACAATATATATAGTTATTATATATATACACACGTGTATGTACATATTAATATAAAAATACACTTAGTACACATTATATATATGATATATAGACATGT